CCTATAACTCTAACGAAAATTAGAAAAATAAGTCACGATATCGATATCGACAACACTATTAATCATACACATATCAACCATATCGTGAATTTAATTCACACCCTTGTCGAATTGATTTGCATAGTTAAAAAGATTTCTGAAAAAAAGTATAGTATAGTTAATCTGTTGTTCGGCGTCTGTGCATTTGTTATGCCTACATAAAATGTTAATTATTTGTGTGTTTGATGTGGTTTCATGTCGTGTTGGTGTGCAACATTTTAGACGTTTATTAATTATCACCATCATTATTATATTACATTGTACGGTCGCACGAACATAATATGACGACGTATAAATTAGAGATTGTAAAAACACAACCAGCAATGGACGCAGAAAAGTGGTATCAGAATTTTGTTTTTTTTTTTATATTACCTACTCTTTGAAAATCAAAGATCCGCGGTCATATTAAATTCTGATCTCCGCGTGTGTTGTGCATGTTTCGATCGAGTTTGAAGATGCGTTTGAACGATAAGGAACGTGGATACTTTTATATATAATTATAATAAATTGTGTGTGTATGTATCCACATATTATAGGTAACTAAAACTTGATAAATATGATAAATAATTACAAAATTAACTGCGGTAGTATACTATAGCTGTGACGCGTTTGTGTATCGTCGTAAAATAAAACGACATAATATTATATTATACAATTTATAATTCTCACGATCGCACGTATTACTCGACTATTGACACTTTTCGACAGAATTCGCCGAGCATTAGTTAGAGCGTATATTAGTATATTATACTACTCTATAATTGTGTAAATGTTAAGTGTGTTCAATATAGTTTCAAGCCTCGTTTTCGGCGCTCCCTATATTATCGTTACTGTGAAAACAGCGTAGTTTAACGGTAATAAAACCACGATAAAAAATATCAAAATGTATATACATGTAATACATTTAGACATTTAGTATGTTGATTGTTAAGGTTCAAAAATATCGTTTTGAAGGCGTCGTGAGGCTTTAGGGAACACGGAAAATGTTATCTGCGGGCGGGCATCTATACCGTGAGCACGTATATGAAGCGGGATTCCATTTGTGTATATATAAATATTATATTAAAAGGTAGGAGGAGTTCGGGTGTCGACGTTAAGAGTCGATATGGTGTTGTATACTAGTATACTATAGGGCTATTAAATTCGTAATTCAGTGTGTGCGAGTACGCGTTAAGTCGATTTCACACCGAGACGATAAAATAATTATATTCATATACAGTGAAAGCAGCAATGAAAATCGCGAGTCTTTTATAAGTTATTAGAAATACGCGATTGATAAAAATAGACCGAATATTTGCATAGGTATAAACTATAAAGATAGGTTTATATGTACATTTATTTAGAATTTCAGAACCTTTTGAAAATTATATTATGCATAAAATAATAGCTTAACTAATGGTGGAAAGTTCTAAGTCTCTAAGATTACAGCGTTTGAGGTAAACTGCTATTTTTCAACATTTCTACTCAAAACGCTTTTAAAACAAAGTGATTACGTATATAGTTAAAATTATTTATACTCTTATATTGCTATACGAAAAAGTTATTAAAGAAACCTTATTGAATTAATTTTCACATTTTAAATCTTATATCACATATTATAATACAATTATGTACTTATTATATTTTTTTATTAAAGGGAATCCGTGGCAATATAAGGCTATTGGGTGTGGGATGGACTGTGGGAATTTTTTTTATATAGGTTTAGTAGGTTTTTATGTTGGAAGAATTGTAACAAGTGTTTTGTGTATGTGAGGACGTACACTCATAGCATTTCCGCAGATTGAGCGTACGACTGGCGACTGCGCCTCACCGAGCCACCCTAATAAATTATACTATTATGATTTAAAAATTATTTATTTATAATTCATAGTTACTATCAAAATAAATTTTTAGTTACCTCTGTCTTCCACATCTATATATTATATAAACTCAAGCACCCGAAAATTTCCGCTCCTAAAATGTTACCACCAGAGGTCTAAGCCAACCCTCCCATCTAAATGTGTCCCACATATATACATGGATAATGTTTAATACTATGGTTACTATATAGTATATATAGGATACATGTTATTATAATATTATAAAATATATTATTATACATACATATTATGCCTGCAGCATCTTATTTTTATATGGGTACAGCTTAAACATGGACACATAAAGGTCAATACTCAATAAGTCCAACACTCCTACAGATACAGATGCCTAGTACAAAAAACAATTATTAATTTAAAAAATAGATGAAAAGATTTAGGTTGTACATTTTAATTTTTTACAATCAATCATTACTTACATATATACATAGCGGGTTAATATAATTTTCTAGAGTAACTAGGGTCCTATTTGTAGTCAAACATTTTGAATTCAGAGTGCTGTGCTGACGGACGGCAGTACCTGATAAATAATTCGATGGAGTCGGTTATCAATTTTCGTTGACAGTCGTTTAGTATAAAATAATGTTATTTGAGTGTTTTTGAATAAAAGTCAAATGTATCGTATGAAAAAAAACGTTAACTAAAATATACCGTTGCAACTTCAAACGTATTGTAATAATAATAATATTAGATATTGTATTAAATTTTCGGTAAATGCTTGATATAAATTGGTACGTCTAGACGGCAATTATATTATTATATTATATAACTAGTTCTGACGGTCTATATATACAATATGTCAATATACCTAATATTATGTTGTGTATAGTATAAGGGTATATAGTTGGCACAAACGGTCCACGTGTTGTTTTGTGCGTTCACGGATCTCCGAACGTTAATTGAAAACCGCGTCTGTAAGACCTTTGAAGTTTGAAGGTGAATGATGTTATATAATATTACTGATTATTTTGTACGAAGTGTAGAAAACGATATTACACAAGTCTTGTCGTGCTCAGTGCCTATTATCTATTGTTAGAGATTTAAGTTACTATTTGAATGTGAACTTAAAACTGATCAATAAACTAATGAAATTAATTATTATTTATTATATTATTTTTCAATTGTCTATTGTTATAATTATAATTTATAATTTAGTTTAGTTTTTCGTGTTTCACCTATCAAACTATTATTTGAGTATCAATATAATATATTTTATCCTAAATATGTTATCCTGCACATTATCATCATTTAAAAATTAATTTAATGTGTTAATATATACGAAATGTACAGTTACGTCAAAAATGGCTACAGACGCCACGGTTAGTTTGTTTGATAAAATAAAAATTTATTTTAAAAGGACAATACTTATAATCATAATATAATAATACCATGTATATATTATCTACTCTACAGTCTACACACATAATAAATACAACAATATAACAACAAATAATTACATTTACATGTATAAAATAATGATAACAATTAATAACAATATTTTATGGCTATTGTAGACAAAATACGCATTATGTTATAAATCACATTACAATATTTTTCATTAGCACTAGATTTTTATAATGATTACAATTTACCACGCATCATTACATGTATTTACTTTTGTCTTTATTTATATTTATGTAGTTATATCATTATGAAAATGTAACTTTTTAAGTTATTGTTTCTAAAAATAAATTTTTACTGTTTCATAATATTATACCATATAATATTCGAAGTTAGTAATTGGTTTTTTTTTTGTATTTTTATTTATTAGTTATTGGTTTTATTTATTTGATCATTGGAATAACTTTTTGTGCAATTAGAAAATATGTCAACTAGAAAATTATTTTATTCTGTATACCGATTTAAATATATGTAAATTAAAAACCTGAACAGGATTAATCTATTATTATTCATAGATGATTATAATTTAATTGTTCTATGTCAATATTATTCGCAAGATTATTTAAATCGTTGGAAACCAGCTCGACTGACAGTCGAACGACAAGTTGAGTATTACGAATAATTAAAAAAATAAAATAATAGTAACTTGAAATAATTAAAGTGATATTAATATATCGGAGCTTGAATCCTATTTTAGTGATAATAAAAATAGTATTTCTTTGAGTTGAAATATTTACAAGAGTATATTTTTCTTTTTTGAGAGAACACTGATTAGTTACTAGAATTTGGAAACACCAACAAGGGGCTGTTGAAAACGACTGAAACCTTGTAACTAGTTGTAACAAATGACGAGGGCTGTTTGAGGTAAAGCTTCATGTAACCGTTTGTATTTTTCCTAATTAATCATCGTCACCCTGTTATACAAATTACAAACACATGTCATCCATAGCTTAATGAAAAGCTGTGTTTCTATAAAATAATTTTACTCCACAGAGATTTATTTTATACAAAATATGATATTACAATGTTTGTTGAATAAAATAATTTAAAATCCATAATACAAATAATAATGTTTTAGAGGAAAAATCATTTGATTCTGCAATTGTTCTAGACGTATTTCAATTCGGAATTTAGATAATAACATTCTAGTAGCTATAAACGGGCTGCAGATGATAATTTAATAAACTAATAGGAAATGAAACAGAAAATCTGTTTGATATCTGAATTTGAATAGTACATTTTTTCAGTAAAGTACACATGAATTTATTAATAAGAGGGGGGGGAGTCCAATACTCATTAGTTACTTATTTGCTTTGGTCTCCACTATCCACATACAATTGTTTGAATTAGGTACTTCATAACAATCAGATAATACATATAAAAATGTTGGCAAAAAGCTAGCAAATGTATATGTAATAGATTTAAATGCCGACTTATTTAAGAAGTAAGTAGCCAATAGGAAGTATTAAAATAATGTTTTGTTTGCTTAATACTTATTAATACCTGCAGTAATGTTATAAGTAATAATATATTTAATTGAGTTGTCGTGGTAATACTAAAAACACTTATAACGCTTACAACAAGGTTCATAACAAGCTTCAAAACTAAAATAACAAAAAAACCTAAGTGGAATCCTGGATAATATTCTTTCTTTAAAATTTGTAGAGAGTAAGTCAATTCACTCTCATGTTCAGAATTATAGAGTTAAATGCTTTGCTTCCGTCATACTAATATAAAATATTTTAGGTTCAGAATTAAGTACTTTCCTCTATATTTTTAATATTTAATTGAACTGAATTATTATCAAATCTAAAATAATATTATCTACAGCCCCTCACAGAATTTTCTTTTGATACTTTAATTTTAAATCAAGTTATGATTATTTTGAAATTGCGAATTTCTGTTATTTTATTCTATTATTTAATAAATAAAAAAAACCCTACATTTTAATGGTACCTTTTATTAAACCTACACACATATAGGAAATTCAAATTTTATATAACTATTGACTTTTAGAATTTAGATCATATAGCATATTATATGCTATCATAAAGTAGGTATATGATTTCTACCAAAATGATTTTGACTTATATCAGAAAAACTAAAAACATATTTAAAATCCCCAACTCTCCAGTTGATAGTTAAATAGCTTATATGCTTTTATATCTAGTCGGGGTTAGCATCATTAATATTTCCTATAAAAAATATGGTCTGACAATAATTTTTCTTAAAATATCTATACAGTTATATTACTTAAGAGTTAAGGCGGACTTAATACAATTGGCTAAAAAAATTCAATAATAATAATTGACTCTACATGTATACATTGTAAAAACATCACATTGTTTTAAAATTCTGTTTCTTAATTATAAAATTTACCCATCTATACATCTATAGTTATGACAAGCAATTAAAAGTATTTTGTTGTCATTTATATGAATATTCTATAATATTATGTAAGTATAATTAGGTGCCTACTGTAATATATTACTTGTCTTATTGTTATACTTAATGGATACAAGACACCAATTTTCTATATTATAACTATATTTAGTGGACGGCTTAGTTTCTAGACCTATTTCGCCCGTTTAGTATAAAAATATGTTACTAATATTGTGTTCTAGTGTACGATTCCAATGAAAACAATAATAATTCAGATATGCTTTAATGCTTAGGCACTAAAAATAAACTGATCAAGAACAATACGTTTGTAAAAACGTTTTTTACTCGCATTCCATCATGTAGAAGTTGTTCGGACTTAGAAAATCGTCATCTGACATTCAATTTTTGTACGTACGCTTGCAATGAAACACATCTCATATCGTAGAAGTATTGAAAATGGTAACCTCGTTTTAAATCCTTTAGTTTTTGTACTGTTCGTTTGCCCTCGTCTATAGTCTGTTTAGAAAATAAATAATTCGTTCAGATTTTGGAACAGGTACTTAGTAATATTAGTTATAAATTATAATATGGCGGGGTTCACAAATGAAAATAATAATATTATCATTTATCGTATTATTTTGTATCTGATATTTTATTCGATTTATGTTTCACTATATTTACGACGTATTGCAGTTGGACTATGCACGTTGAACGCCTTTAGGTTATGAGTAGTATGACCATAATCGTACACATTTGGTTCGATTTCGAGACCTAATTATTATAGTAATACTATTGAAATTTGTTTGAAGTTAAATAATATTTGTTGCCTGTTGAGTGTTGACTTTTACAGTTCGATAGTTATTTTCCAAAGATAAAAATAGAAAATAATAAAAAAAAAACTAAGCTAGAATAATATAGTGAAAACAAAAAGAAAATAATGTAAATAAATTACTAGCCCACGCAGTGATCAAGTGTTTTCAAACCTACGCATGCATAGAATAATTTGGATTACAACTATTTAGGATTAAAACATAATTTACAAATAGCCAATAAATATAATATATAGGACATAAGTGCTTCGTAAATTCACAACAATATAATTTAACATTGTATATATTTATATATATTATTATTTATTAGGAATATAACAAGCGGTTTAGTGTAGTATTATCTGAAATTAAATATTCGTGTGATACTTAATCTTACCATGTCATATGAAATTATGAAATTTAATAAACAAAATAATTTAATCGTATCAAAATAAAATAAAAGTATAGGTACCTATATTTTTTAAACAAATATTTTGTACTGTTATTTTCAAAAAGTTGATACATAAGAATACATTAGAATATTTTTTCTCTATAAATTGTACTCGCAATTTACAGTGACAAAACACTCTAAAGTAAATGATTTTTCAGTAGTGAATAATCGATAAATATCTTGTTTTTTTATGTTGTAATAAATTCTGGAAACTGTGATGATATGAGTTTGGAAGTTGTAGCGCTGTACAATTAAATAAATATTAAAAAAGTACTAAAAATATAAATAAAACGGGATGAATAAAAAAACAATAAAAATTCGTATATATTCATTCTATAGGTACAATCTAATATAATTTCAATTATTTTTGGATGATAAAGTGATTTACAAAACTATAAAAACCATACGTTAACAATCTCCTACTTTCATAGTTAAAAACTTACAATTAATAAACAAGAATTTATTTATTTTTAAATAATTAATAAAATCTCGCTTACTTCAATGTGTCTTATTTGCTCGGCGGTGAGTTCATAAACTCCGTACACGTACAAGTGATCGCGCCGCTGATTCCGGTCCATATTTTCCACGATTTCGATTAGTGAATGACAGTGGTCATCGACGAAACCCAAAACTCTCCGACAGACGATCGTCAGTAATTGTTTTGTGTACCACATCGTGTTGTCGTCGTCTTCAGCTTCTTGGCAATCTGCCAACAACAATAAAAATAATATTTACCAATTAAATAAACTCCATTCGCAAAACTGTATTAGGTATAATATAACAAGTACAAAATATCAGATTTCTTTATTGTAAGATAAATAAAAAAATATGAAACTAAATAATCATGTATAAGTACTTAATAAGAATAGTTGTAGTAAAACTAAAAAATTGTTGGTTGTTAGCTTTTAAGTTCACCAAAAAATATCCAACTTAAAAACCGAGGAGATAGCAATTATACACTGCAATTATTTCTTCCCGAAAATCTTTTGCCGAGATTTTGTTGAAATGTTTTGAAAATACATATAAAGAACACTATACCCATTGAATTACTGGCTAAACAATGTACGGTATATATTTGTCGTGTGTTGCTTCAATATATCCAACAGATTTTGTTTGATTTCTGTGAGGAAATATTTTGACAACATTACTTTTTATGGTTATCTTACATGTATATAACTTTTAAGTGAATATTTTTTACCAAAATTCCAAGAAAGCGCAAATTTTGTTTTAAATATAGACCTTATACTACTATAGACAACCAATGATAGTGTATGGAAAGTGTAACAACATAGAGGGTGCTTTTTGATTACCCGATTACTCGTACACACTATAGTCCAGGGTAGTAGGGTAAGACATATAGAGATATAGATGATTGTATTTTGTAGTAAAACCGGACATCATCACTGTATTTTTTTGTCAAGACAGACTACATCTTTGTGAGAGTTTGTTACACCGCTCTTAATGCTAGTAGTGTAAGGTTTATGGTTTTAAGTAATTATAACGTTTTTGTCGTCACACATCACCATTCACCTCTGTCAACCAGCATTGCTTTATGTATTATAATCCATGAATAATTAAAAATTATTATATAAAATATTCTGTTGATAAGTCTCTGCATTTATATGTTCATTGTATTTAATATTGAAAGATGGAAAAAGCATAAACTAATTACAAATCGTGATTAATGACCCAACTCAATAAATAATAGCCAAATATTAAATTGAGAACTGTAATTAATCATCATTAATAATAGAAAAACCAAAAGCGTTTCATGTGTATAGCTTTGAGAGGTGATAAAATAAGTAACGTGCTAAAACGCGTTGTAAAATGACTTAGATTAAAAAGTATAGGGTGCATCATTTAATAGTGTGTGCCTATTTTATTATCAAGTTTTATTCCGAAATAAACATTATACTCAAACAGTGAAACACGCGTTTATAACAAATGTTTACATTGCGTTTCAGTTTATATGGACAGTTTATATTTTAAAACAAGAAGTAAAAAAACTCTAATAAGTAATTTTGTAATTTTAAAACTAAATTAAAATATCATATCAAAGTAAAGTAAATTAAAATATAAATTACTTGGTTGTTGTTTACTTTTTTGTTCGAGCCAGAACTCAAAAGACTCAGTTTTTATATACAATTTGTTTGACGTTTGAATCGTTTGATAAGACGCATTAGCAGCATGTAATTAATCTCGTGATCCAGCATCAATGTACATTATATATCATTAATCAACATAAAGTATTAGCTATATAATTTAAATTCCAAAAATATAGCAAGTATAAAAATTCGAATTTGAGATAAACAAATAATATAATTTTATATTTACAATTGGAAATAACAATTATTATAATCGTACATTTTTAATATTTGTTTATATTTTATAAAGTCAATATAAAAGAAAAATAGATGATTTATAAATGTTGATAATTTTATCAACATATTTAATTTTTTTTTCAAACTAAAAATTCAAATAATATTACTACCTAATTGTCAACTTTACTTCAACAATACTTTTGAGTTTTGGACACTCATTACATAGATTGGATAGAACGTAGGACGATAAAATGAAATTGGGACAGTTGCAGGCACCTACCATGTATTAAACATATATTATACCTATTATATTTTTTATCCTCGGAAGATTTACAATAGTGTTAGCACGATTATGACCTGTGTGTGGTGGATATGATAAATAAACCAACATTTTATCTAATATTTGAATCCACCAACCGAATAGTTAAGAACACAAACAATCGCTGGAACCTGTAGCGTTCTGCTATAGTAATAATATTGATTAGACACTGGAATTCTGATACTTTGTAGTACCATTGATTATAAATACTAGTAGTAGTACCAATAACTTATTGGTAATAACTATAATTTATTGCACCCCACATGACGTACACTTACATTACCATTAATCATAAAGTCCAGGGGTCGTCAAATAATTATTTAGGGTAATCTAGCCTATCCTATGTAAAAGAAGAAAAATAGTAAGCTATAACATTGAAAATTTAATTTATGAGTCCTTTCTTTAAAAATGCTGCGGATTACTGCCAAAGACGTCATCGTACATGTGCACTAGTGCACTACCTATACATTATTGTGATACTTTTCTAAAGTCGTACGACTCGTAAATATTATTAAGTACCATGTAATTTAATAATTATTACAAAAATATGATTAAAATATTTATCGAGTATAGGGTTGATATTCAGTATTAGTATACTACTGCAGTGTTTTGTTCATACGGCGTGGTAAACGACTAGTGTTGAAATAATCAAATAGTAATATTAATATTAAGATAATATTATGTTGGAAGCAGACGAAAAACTCTCCACTTACCCGATAGTACTGCGTGCAGCAAGTCCACCGGCCACTTGGCCACGCCGTACTTGACGTACAACACCTCGTAAGCGATCAGACGGCAGTGCCGCTGGCCGTCGCCGTGGTTGCAGCTGGCGTCGTCTCCGCTCGAGGTCGCAGCCGTCCACCGCAGCGCTTTGGCCACCTTCGTCTCGTTGCTCTCCATGAAGCTGGACATGGTGCCCTGACAAGTGTTCAACCTATAGCCGTCCACCGCTTCGTCGGCACGTCGTCTCATCAGCTCGGCCGTGACTGCATCGCCCGCCGCGCCTGCGCACACTGTAATACATACATACACACACGCAGCTCACCGTTATTAGTTCTTATGATTTTGTTTTGAGTATTATTTTATCAGTGCTTGACTTGAGGGGGAATGGGGTATCTCGACTAAAAGTTCAGATATTTACCCAACCTAATATTATCAGCGTATTATATTATTATATTTTAGACATTTATCGTTCCCTAGTTAACTATACCTGATAAAGTCTACCACATCTATATTCTATACACCCACGCTTATAGTTGAAATGTTAAAGGAAGTATAACAAGTTAAGACATTTTTGTTGGTTTGTGGTAATAAAGTATAATAAAGGGGGCTACTAATTAGCTAGGGATGTAAATATTTTTGTGTCATCAAAGTATTTCTACTATTTTTTTTTCCAAGTCAAGCGCTATATTTCATCAAATATTGTGAACCGTGAAGTAATCATTACGTTTGTTAAATGTGGGGAGGGGGCAATAAAAACTAAAACCCATCTCAAAAAAAGCTGAAGTTTTAAAGTATTATTATAATGCCCTAAAAATCAAAATGGTCATAATAGTGTATGAAAAAATAATTTTATGTGAGACTTAAGTCCTCGATTTCAAAGGCATAATATATTTGATGTATACATTCATATAGTTGTATATTATCATAATAATAGTTGGTACGACTTGCAAATATCGCGTATTAGCATTTTACTATCATCATGAAGAAAGCCCACATGGCACCATTGAAAAATTTAATTTTTTTCAATAAATTATATTTTAAAGTTACTTGTTATTATTTTGTTACCATAATATAATATCTGCAAGAGTGCAAGGGAATTTAAAAGTATGATCCCGTACAGTATCTATTACCTTCTTAATAAAATCAAATATTTATGAATGATTATTTACCAATTTTATAAATATTATACTAACTGTATTGCCTGGCGTTGCCTAGGTAAATATGAATAAATGTATAACTATGTAAGGAACACAGACTTTACTTTTCAAAAAGTTCATTTAAACAATTCTTCCTAAGTCTTCAGTAAAAACCAGACAGATGGCGCCACGTGTTTAATCCTATTTCCCCATTCTGTTTTCAGTGGCATGAGGTATATCAGTCGTACATTATGTATAAGTAGCTGATGCTGATGAAGATTGACACTTCATTGATGTAAAGTTTGACAAAATCAAGTCAGTAGCTACAGAGATAACATAGTCACCAGGAGTTCTATAGTTGTCCTACACTACCCCAACAGTAGGTATTATTTACAAAATAGGAAATTATATTATATGCGTGACTTACACACTTCATTAGGTTAAAATGTCTCAAGGTATTTCAAAGTTATGCTGGAACATACATACATAGCCTCACACTGCCATTTATATAATATATATAAATATTATGGTATTATACACTATTAAAAATATACAGTTTAAAATATTATCAAATATCATTCATAAAAATTCAAATATTTATAAGATTTCTAAAGGTTTTTAAAATTACAAATGTGTGTAAATGCTACTATAGCATACCTTACAAGTTGATTTATGTTACAGTAAACAATAAACAGTCACTTTAAACCATTTGAGTTTATTTATGTAATCTGAAGTCATTATAAGACATTTTTTTTACTATTTTTCTTCAATATCAAATATTTAACTTTTTGGAAGGACAATTTACAATTTTAATTTCATACTCCGAAGCATAATATTTTTCTAAGCATTTTGATACATAAAAATAGAATTTAGAACGATTAGTTAATTATAGTTATAACTTATAACTACGATTAAATGATTGAAATAGAGTCCCAGAGTGTCACAAAGGATATAATATAAGTTTTTTTATTTTTTTTTTTTTTTTATAATATAAGTTATAACCTATTATAGCATTCAAATCGGTTAGTTATAGATTAAAGCCACAAATTAGTATATTACATTAGACAATATAGACAGTGATTCAATTTGTGGATATAGAGATATTTTAATACTTAAAAATATTTCACTTATTATTATTTAAAAGCAACGATTTTTTCAATAGTATACCTAAAAAAATACAAATACTGAAACACTATAGTGTTAAATATAATGTATAATATATTATACATGCATTTTTGGAGATATAAAAATGATCCACAGTAAGTAAAAACCAAGTTAAATACCACCTTCAGAGTTGAAATTTATGTATACTGCTCCTAAAGGTGATGTAAGTCACAGAAAAAAACACATCGTTCCAAAACCAATATAATAAAGGAAGACTGAATAAAAACTACAGAAGAAAAATAATTTTAATTTTATTAACTATTATTGATTAATTTTTTTTTCTTATAATATTACAGCTCGAATTTAACGTATATTGTATAATCGATGTTTTGAAATACCTCTGTTTTAGCTATCATAATAAAAGTCGACCCACCACCTGATTACGATAATAATCACAAATAATTTAACGCTTAAAATAATTTTATTTTCAACTTGAATTTACAGTACTTCATTTTATAACTTTATTACCACACTATGTATCAACTATTTAGACAGGTGTGGCGGCATTCGGAACTCCAGGGAACGTAATTAACGCACAAGTTTTCAAATTATTCATTTAGATTTTATGTTTATATAAAATTAAGAACTTTGAAAACTTTTACGGATTTTGGTTGAATTTCAACTTTGTTGAAGTAAAATATTTGGTAGGTATATTTTACAAATTATTTGCAAAATGTCTAATATACCACGGAAACATTCGGTACAAGTACTGACTCATAAAATATATTAGCCAAAATACTTTAATTTTAATTAAAAAAATTGTTAAAAATATGGCAGATTTTGATACTTGTTTAAATTTTTGAGCGAACAATGATAAAGATATATGAATTATAATAGACCAAGAAAATCTCATTAATTTCGATGAACATTTTTTGAGTTTTTTTCTGAAAATGAATAAATTATTTTCTCAGCAAATACGGTGCGAACAAATCCTTTAATATTTGAAAACTTTAAAGCTCCGTTTAAGATTTCAGCAGCTGTCTTTGTTTCTCTGACTCGAAATTAACTCTATAAGCCCACCTTCGTACCATGAAATCAGAAAGCAAAAAACCGAGAACTCGAGACTGCATCCCATTATGCGAATCGATTGGAAAAGTTAAAAGTTCATATTATAATATGGTAAAACCATAAAAAGAGAATAACTCTCAGTTGTTTCTTCATATCAACATGCATTGCATTATCGGAATATTTTGAATTTCTAACTACATCACAGAACAAATAAAACATATTGAATCATAATAATTTATGAATAACTTATAGGTACCTATATGATATGCTAGTTGTGTCCTTATAGACCATTTTCTAAGGTAATTAAATACTTGGATATTGTATAGTATAATAGTATATCATCATCTTTAGGCTAATTTTTTGTTCTATGTAAAATAATATACATTGTACAAAATAAATAATAAATAGTTGAAAATAGCAACTTTAAAAATACATCTTTGGATGCTGGATTAAAGGCTGTATCGTTTAGATACCATAGATACAATAATGTACAATATACAATATTATGATCTTTTTTATAGAAAGTCAGTTTTTCAAGACAATATAAAGTATGTTTTGGAATTTTAGTTCAGTAAGAAATTACGAGAAATAATTATTTATAAATGTAATAATTTGTTTTTACCTGTAGCCATAAAGTAATGATACTGCCTCATCCACACTTCTGCTACACTTGCAAATTTTTTATACGCAGCCATCCAATCCAATTTAATTGCATACATGAAGCCTAACTCATGTAAACACATTGTTTTCATACTTACAAAAGAATTATCAACTAAAACGGTTGATCCAATCTCGTACGCTCGTATCGATCGTTCTAAATCACCCTACGAGTACAAATTTACTGACACGATCAACATATAATGAATTCAATAACTTAATGACAATTAATTAAATATAGTCAATATAGATATGAATAGTAATGAAAAATTAAAGCCAGCTACTTCTACTTAAGTTATACAATATGTATTGTGTTCTGTACAAACCTTGAGATAAAGCGATCGCCCAGTAAAGTATTGCAGAGATGTCGAGTTTTGGAATTCTTCAGGCGGATTACATACTAATTGTTCTGATTCTTTGACGCAAGTTTCATTTTCTCGAGACTGAGGACCGTCAAACAAGTAATCTGTGTTTCCCATCATGTGATACCATGACAGAATCAACCTATAATAAATTGGTATTTACACAATCGTCTATAGGCGCTTAAAAATAATCAGTACAGACGTATTATAGCCACCACCCTTGGGACTCTTTAAATATATTTTTAGTACACACGTATAAAATGCTTTTTTTAAACATTCTCAACTTTATAATTGCTTAAATTATAAATTTATACTCAAATTCTGATTTTGAAATGTTGTATTATACTAAGGTTGGTTCTTACAAGTTACAATGTCCGGTTAAGTGCCAGTTAACGCTAACCAGCTGATAACAGATTTTATTACCAGTGGAATTCCGCCGGTTCGTTAACTTTAACCGGACATTGTAAGAGCGGCTCTACAAAACTTAAAGTAATAAAGTCTAGAACCCTTTTTTAAAATATTTTTTTGTACCATTTGTAAGTACTTTCTACACACAACTATATTATATTGAATTGTATTTAAATTTTACAAACCTATATAATATAAAGTATTATTACGCATTAGGTACACATAATATGCAACTACAATACATTTTAAACCTTGGTCACATTATAGTACATCTATTGGCTCTGAGCTTTAAAAATAATCCTATGTGTACATAATGTATTATTATATGGAACATTTATCTGCTGTACATAATAGGTTTCGAGTGTGTTATCTCATTATTGAAGAGTAGGTTACTGTGATGAATGTGTTCATCAAAATCACGAAAATTGCAAATTTTTTTGTACCTATATATCTATACCTAGTTTTATATACTAGGTATATATCTATACCTAGTTTTATATACTAGGTATATATCTATACCTAGTTTTATATACTAGGTATATATCTATACCTAGTTTTCTTATACAATGATTTTATATCCTTTGTAATTTAATATATCCATTCCAGTGGCCCACTCGACACATACTGTACAGCATAACGGTACCCACTTCCCTCACAGACAATAATTACATTTATGGGACATACCATGTATTCAAGTGTAATTGAAGAGTAAACTAATTACCAAATTACATCCAATTAAGGTGGGGTATTATAACAAACCATGATAAACTGATCAGTGAAATCACAATACAAACATTGATACAACCATTTTAGTTTGTATTTTTTTTTAATAATAACTTTAAAACACTGACAAATAAGAGTAAAGAATAATAGTAGATAATTACAATAGTCAATAACAATAATAAATAATAATTAAATAAATACTATTTATTTATTTAAATTAATTATTTAATTAAAAAATTGGCAGATATAGGATTGAGAAAAAATTTTCTCTATCGGAACATTCATAACCAATACTTTTCGCTCACAGAATACAGTGTAGACTAGGTGAATGGATGTCCTATCTATGTACCTATATATTATCTATGGTATGAGCACCTTTTTTCAGTTAAAAAAAAATTACAACGATAGTTACCATGCTAATGGTGCGTGTACGTCAGGCCCGTTTTTCGCATACGCTAAAGCTTCTAAACCGGTTTGGCGATTTCCACGAAACCCCAACATTCCGATTAGAGGGATAACCATTGGTGACATTAATGATAAGATCAAATTAAAAGCTCCATATCCAACACTGACCGCTGCCATCAATCTGACCACGTCCTTAGACATCCCGTTTGACACGCTATACGAAGAACAAAAGTATTTAACACGTAATCAAGCATATCATGATTACTTTAAAAATAAATTTTGAATCAAATTCATAATCAGTTTGTCGAAGTAAAAATTGTACGATGATACAAGTTAACTAATGTAGTTAATATAGGTAAGCTGGTGAGTACTTACAAGTAATAATATTATTATACTAGTTAGTACCTATGTTCTACTTGTACTAGTAGATTAGAAGGACGAGCTTAGTTTTTGAACAGTATAGCTACACAGAATGATTATTGGTATTGTGAACCGGACAAAATAAATTATCTAAAGAAATATAAGGAATTTGTAATCATTTAAAAACATTATACCTACACTGTTTAATGGTTTAACATTATTTTGGCTTTGGTTATTTATCAGTAAATTTGTTTTTAAAAAATATGCAAATATAATGTATACTTAGGTAGTAAAATATTATTGATAATCATCTAGTTCACGATAAGATAATCGCTATTTTTTGTTTAACAGTATCAATATATTATATTATTATTAAACGTGTATACCAATCTTGACGTAAAGTTACAAACGACGTGGTAGCCGAGCGATGCATACGACTTTCAACGTTGGATGTCGAAGCCAAGAAGGTGGCAGACGTAGATTGTCTGCGTTTCAAAACTGGCGGCCACCTCGGAGTGTTGTCGTCTGATGCACACGAAAAAGAAAAAGAAATAAGTACTCGTGAGCCCCAAATACCAAAGGGTATTACAGGTATAGGTATAGGTACTATAATATTATAGCATAGATAACCGGGGTATAGGTATATCGAGTAAAAATAGTGGTTAACTCGCTGACCAGGGTCCAAGTCGTAAACGGTGCGGTAGACGTCCAACACAGATGCATAACACTGCTGGTACATTTTCCAGGCACGCCGCAAAGTGTATACCGTTTTGGCGGTAGCCATGTGGCCCACATTGTGCCCGTTCATGACCTTGACGACCATCAGTCCAACTATGCACAGCGTGACGTCGGCAAGCGCGATCTGTCCGTCGTAGTGGTCGACGCCCGCGGTGGGGCTGGACGAGAACTGCAGTTTGCGCCTGAACGCCCCCAACCACCCGCCGTCGTCCAACATTTCGCAGCATCGCGCCTCGAGTCGCTTAAACTCAGCCAGCGCGCATTCCAGTCTCGACTTTTCCGGCGTTTGGATGGCCGTCTGAGGAAAACCGTTAAAGACACATTAGCGAACGTAAACGACAAACAAAGTAACGCGTGAACGTGTCACGGGTCATTTGCTACATTATTTTGTGAGGTACATAAGTATCTATAATATTATACTAGGTATCAGGGACGGATCCAGAGCGGGGGCCTAGGTTCATATTATTTCCCAATTTTTTTTAATAATTCTACAGATCCTGTAGATATTACTATTTTTCAAATTACCTGTATGTCTGAATGTCTGATAATATATATTATTATACACATCATTCTAGGGTGCACAAACTAAGATAGCCCTAGCTCATGGTGGACAGTGATCCCAATATTTAAATTTTACATTGATAAAAAATTTTGCCCCCCCCCCCAGATCTTTGCTCTGGACCCGTGCCCGCTAGGTATATGTTTTGAGTTTGAGGATTTTGATGACAATTTATAAGGGTATATTTTCTTTGGATTTAGGAAACCTTATAATTATTTATCGATACGATATAAAAATTGTTTAAAATTAAATTATTTAAATTCTGGATAAATCATTATAACAATTACCCACTTATCAGTCTTTAAATATACGTAATGTTTGGTTTGATCGTATAAAAAATATTTTTACAACTTAAACTTATTTTCCAACATTGTATTATTTATCATATTTTATAAAAAAATCTTTTTATTAATTTACACATTATTAAATCCAAATAATGAAAGAAAAAAAATATTAAACAAGGAGTTTTAAAACAATAATTATTGCTCCAGCTAGATTATCTATAATTGAGTTAAACTGTGTGTAGACTTTAAAAACTATTTTATAGGTTACAAACTATAATGAGTACAGTTCACTTTCATTGAAAATTTACTTGAGTGGTAATAATATTTTATATTTATCAATTTTATTATTATACGTTAAACATCGATTGGTTTGTAATACACACATATAGATGTGTGAGTGCAGTATTAGTAAAATTAACTTACATTTTACTTCAGTTTTTTTACGAACGCTCATATGTATTTAAATTGTATAATGCATAAAAATCTAATTACATAGAATAATAAATATTATAGTTTCTGTATGTAACTAGGCGTAAATACTATCATATTGCTGCCTAGTGCCTACTGAGATCGGTTCACGATTAATATTTTTAATTTGTTTTACACTTGAATTGATTACGCGCGTTAAAGTCCTTAAATCACAACAATATATCATGTAGTTTGAATTTTTAATCTCGGAAATTCGTAGTTAAGTTAGACTATTTAATTTCAATACCACTATACAATAATGACACCCATATGACACTCAAAATCATGTATGACTGCTACGATTATACACTGTATAAATGTAACATATTTACCACTTTACCACAGCATAACATTATTATTAGTGTTTATGTTTAATCGCATAATTTCCTACAACAATTCTCTTTGTTGTAAAGTGGGTATAAATATTAATGGTATAATTCTATTAATAAAACAAAAAAACAATTTCAATGTGAAATGAATTATACCAGTGATAAAGATGGAAAACTGTATGGATCAACCAACCAACAACGCATTAGATTTGAATGTACGATCTAGGGCATGTTAGTTATGTAAACATGACTTATAGAATCAGTACTGTGTAATATATAATATTTTTTATTTGCTTCAAAAATCCACGCAAGTCATCAGGATTATGATTTCATGATTTATAGTTTAAATACTATTATACATTTATATAGAATACACGTATTATACAAAACATAGATCGATGACCAAAAAAGCTTATTGTATTAATATTTAATTGTTTATTGTTATATATAAGTTAAATCAGACTTTTAAATTTTAAACAAAATATTATTTGTATGAATTTCATATTCAATTTAATTGTATGCTGCATAGATTTATCTTACCAGTTCATTGAACCATCAATTATAAAATAATATATATAGTTATTATAAATATATTGACTCTTTTTGATCTATTTATAGTCATGAGACATTTTTTAATTTTGTAAATTATTTTTCAGTTCGAAATGTATAAATGTTTTCATTACACAGATGACATTAAACATTTTAATAGAAGATTCTACACAAGAAAGATTTTACATAATATTTTCTGCCACGAACAAAAAAAAAGTTTACCAGAATTGAACAATAATTTTTAATGAGCAATTGAATTAAAAAATGTGTACGATATTGGATTTTCACCGGTAAATTAACGAATTACCATCTATCGATTTTTGATATTTTGATGTAATTCAAAAACATATAACTGTAGACATTAGACATTTTCATCAAATGTTAAAATTACCATTTTCCATACATAGTAAAATGTTCAAACTATTTAAGAAATGAATTAGAAATACAAAATAAAAAAATAATAACCAATAATAAAATGAAACATTTGCCGCTTGCAATATGAAGATCATTCTCTTGTCGGTTCAGTAAAGCTTCGGCATCGGCCAAGTTATTAACATTTTGTATCAACATCCAAACTGCTTTTCTGCATATTCTCCAAGTGGGTTCATTGTCTGAGGACATATCAATTACCAGCGACCGAGTTCGTCTAAAATTATAAACATAAAATAACGTCTTGTAGCGATTTTATAAAAAAGCCAAGCAAAACACGTTTACCAAATCGCCTTCCAAACGATTTAAAACACAATGAAAATACGTCCTAACAATAAACATTACTTGTAATTATTATTATTATTTGCTTTATGCATTTATAATAAGTATATAATATTTTCATAATACATCTTTCATTCAATCTTCATAACTGCAGTACTTATTGATTTTGATTTACATAACCTTTTTTTGTACTATAGATCATTTTGCAAAGAAGGATACAGACTATATTATATTATACGCACTATTATAGTGGTCAGTGGTGGCTGAAAACTGGTCTATCGCGACTACCTTTGGTTAGTACCTTGATTTTTTTTATTAAAGTTTTAAAGTTTATACAATACCGACTCAACTCTTGCCCCCTGAAAATTAAGTGGTAAATAGAAATAAACCCGTTGCGCCAATAATATTTGCACCTTCAGCGGAGTCGGTTAGTACCTATTACTAGTTCTCGTTTACAATATAAGTATCGGTATACAGTGTGACATAAAAATGTAATTGACACATACATTTTTTTTTAGTTGGGCAACTCGGGGAAACTCGGGGAAACTCGGGGACTCCCCAACTGGGGAAATACGACACTAACGGACATTGCAAGGATATATAACATGCTGAGCAAAATGTTACTTTTTTGAAATGACTTTATATCTATCTTCAATGACAAACGAAGAAACATGATGAGCAAACATGATGTACTACAATCTTCAGTGTTTTCTTAACCCTAAGGACACGTGGACGTTGTTAAAATAGAACGGGCGTCAGCAGGACATACAGAAATAAAAGAGTTTAATATTATAGTTGGCGTCTTGGCGACGTATGATGTAGCTACGTATTTATATTTCTTTGCGGATTTGATCTATTATGAAGATTAAAGTAGAATGTATGGTTACTAATAATACATTTGTGAAATTATTACAGCAAACAAATAATCATTGGAAATTTATTTTCAGTTACATTAAAAGTACATACAACAAAAAATAAGTAAATAATATGATTTAAAAATAATGAAAATATTAATTTTAGACAAACTATGTGGAGAAGTTATAGAACGGAATCCACACTCACGTCCCACCAAATTCTTATTTATACTTAGTTATCTTGAATACCATTTGCATTTATTGTGATTCAATATTTTTAACTACTTCTAACTTCTAAGCATAGAGTAAAATGGTTATTTTATGCTTCAAACAATAGAAGATATTACTATATAATTTTATTTACGCATGGAAGTATTATTTCAACTCGCCAAAAAAATAAAATATAATATACCTGTACTTGGTATTAACCATTATGTATACTTATTTTTAATCACTGATTTTAAGTAATTGACTTATTTCATAAAATGATCATGAGATTTTCCACTTATTATAATGGTACCACTGTATCAGCAAAGGCTAACTATTCATAAATAAAACCAATTTTGTAGTCTTTTTTTGATTCAGGAAAATGTTAATCGTATAGAAACTTTAAGCATTGCACTCACTATGAATTATATTATTAGTTATTACTTTGTATACACGATGCAATTTTCAAAATATTTAAATTATATTAATGTTTAGTGAAATGAAGGTACAATGTTTTTATATTTAAATTCAATTCCAATTTAAGTTAAATTGTTTATTGTATACTCACATTACAGTGACCTAATATACTCCTATATTTAATGACAATGTAAGCTTAAAATCTACTATTCAGTAGAGTCTGTTTTTATTTATTTAATTACTTATTGACAAACATCGTGTAAAATATTTTATTTCATGATTAAATCTCTTGTCAGACGTTTTAATAGTATTATTTGGCAACTATTAATGTAGCTTATCTTTATTTATGAATATTGAATAGTTTTTGGTAGGTCATATTTAGGGGTTTAAAATGGCCTTAATATGGTACAACTGTATGTGCATTATAAAAAACCGCTGTCTGCAATAAAACAATCGATTAAATATTTATAACCTTCATGTACATCTATTTGTGTCACTATTAATATATGCAACCATGGTCAATCGACAACCCATATGTCAATACAATAATTAATACGAGTGTTTATCCCATTGTCACATACACCGAAGTCGTTGCAATTTTTCCTTTACACTTTTCCGAGTTGTAACGTAACTATGTAGCAAAATAAAGTATTACTAATTAGAATTAGTAAATGATACGTGTAAAGTATTAATATTGTAGAATGGGGTAAGTTAAATACATAATCTGCAATATAAGTACACTATTTTATAATGTTCTGCAATACAGGGCCAATAATTAAACAAATAAACAAAAACAGTATTAATATACCCTTAAGAAAATATAAATTGCTTAATTCAATTATACTTTATTGTTAAGGCTTCAATCACATTTAACTTATAGTGTACAGATTTACGACCTCGTTTTACAGTCAATTAAAATAAAATATTATTTTTAACAAAATTTGTTTTTGAGCTGAATACAAGATCTTGTGTTACTGCCTAATTTTTCGTAAGATTTATGTTGTCATGGTTGTTCAAACTTATGATTATGCGAGATTGTGTAATTTTTCTCGAAAATCTATATTACATTTACGTTTGATGATCATACAAGTTATGTAATTATGTATTTACATTCAACACTTCATTTCAGTATTTCACTAGTATTTTTTTTATTAATTAATACATTTTGATTGAAAAAGGTAATCTTTATCATTACGATTGATTAAAATAAAATGATTACTTAATTGATTAATAATTTGATTTAGTTAATGAAATTCGTACCACTTACTTGAAAGAATACTGAATAGTGAGTAATGATGAAAATACTCAATAAATACGATTTTAGATTTGTTACTATCAAGAAATAATATGCATAACTATGTTCTCCACAGTTACCTAAGTGTATTTTTATTTTTATTTGTTTATTTAGTATTAAATTAATTCGGTCAGTGGGTATGAGCTCAAATATATTATTCTTCTCTGAATAAAATATAGATCCCTATAGTGCTAATCCCTATAGTATAGATCCTTGATAGGGTTTTGGGGTGTGATTTTATTTTGGCCTGAATGACCTATTATTGTTTCAAATATAATATTTAATGGATAATGTATATTAGGGCCTGATTCATGCAAATGCAAGCGTAGTTCCTATTGGTGACATACATGGTATCCAAATTTTGAAAAAATCGCATACGAAAAATTCTAATCATATTATTATTATGACATGTTGAAAAAAACGATTACGTGGCTGTGAAATAGGCATACTCTACCGACTACCAGAAACAATTTTCTTCCACAGTCCGTTTTTTTATGCACACGAACTAATCTACTATAGGAAGCTACAGTATCGACTTTTCTTTACACGAATAGGTTATCATGATTATAACTTATAATATACCTATTATATTATATTAGTTAAGTTTCCTATATGGTTAATGGCTATATTATGTATAATAATTTATATTTTAGCTGGCGCCGTACTGTATTATAAAGATGGATCAACATTTGGATGTTTTAAATAGTATTTTATTGAATGTGATACAAATCAAAAAAATAGTGTACTTTCAAGCAGAAACAATGACACAAAATATCAATGAAAAATTAATAATATTAGGAGCTACATTATTATTTTGAGTATAAGAAAAACACAAAAATATTGAATGAAAGATTGATCAAATAAATTACTTAAAACTTAAAAGTTCTACCTAGCTATTTTAACATGACAATGGGTCCCTCGCTTTTTTTAAACAGTTTAAATCTATGGTGTCTGTTGACTTTTATCACTTATAGGAATTCTAAAAAATGTCCTATTTTAATATACGTAAGTGCAGGCTTCGTGTGGCGCAGTAGTTGTTCTGAAGGCAAGTATTAGCCCGTATCTCTAGTTCCCAGATGGGTGACCAGCCGGGTTTTTAGTGACAAATCATCTCCACATTTACATGTGTTTTAATCAACCGTACCCTCCCCCACAGTAATAAACCAACTAAAAACCAGCTAGGCTAATGACCTCAGATGTTGAAGCCTCATCTCAATAAAAAAATAATAATAATAATGTACGTAAATAAACTTAAAATAAGTAGGATGTTTTATTTCAAAGTGGAGAAAATTACCTAATCGGGAAATAATTGTCTGGTATTGACGTATTGTGAAAAAAACACATTTATAAGTAAATATTTATACCTACTACTACAAAATTATTAATATCACAATAAATACGAAAATCAGAAAATATTCTAAAATTTTTCATTACCTAGTTATAATAAAATGAGAGCAAATTTAAATTATAATGAATATTTGCTGAAAACACGTGGGTGGAATATATAATTAATAATAATTATGAGAATAATTAATTTTTTTTAATGTTGAAATAGGAGTGTACTTTATACTATACAGGCGTACCTAAATTTATATTAGAATTACCTGCGGGATATATGTACTGTAATGTATACTCGTAGGTTCACTTGGTGGCTGGTGCCGTAAAATTTAATTATATAAGTAGGTACGCAATTCTGAACATTCATCGAATTCATTCCGTGTTTTGTAACTTACATTAACTTTTATACACACTAATATGTAGTAACTCAAGTTATATATTCAAATATTTATAAGGCACTAGCTGTTGTATACATTTGATTCTGTAATTTAAAATAAAAATATATTTAACAAACGTGTTTTTTGTTGTTGTAGGTTCCAGTTTTATCGTTAGGTTTGTCCTTACATAATACTTAGATAAAATCTAATAACTTATCTGATGACTATATTAAAATGTATGTTGCAGAATTAAATGTTGATTTTTTTTTAAAAAAAGCTTACCTAGTAAAAAGTTAAAATTTTAAGACAAAATCGTAAGTACCTACCTGTCCTACCTATATACATATGATTATAATAATTAATAACATTAGACGCCGGGTTTTTTCTATTTATTCTTGTGACGATAAGCATAATGATACTGCAGATATTTGATAAGGAGAACATTTTAAAGTTCGCGCTATAATATAAACCCATATAGTTATAAATTATACAAGAAATAGTGTGCTCCCTCCTCTAAAAATAACCCAAGTTACGCACGATGAGCTGCATATTCATACGTGTATAATTAAACCCGAATATTGCATATTAAATATAAACCTACTCACTCGTGCGAGGATCGTCAACACCGCTGCAAATATGACGTCGGAAGGCTGCTGTAGTCTCATGAACGACGGACCTTCGAAGGTAGTGCTGGCCGTGATCGTAATGCACATAGACACTCTGAGCATTTAAATTTCCATTAAAATAGATATTAACATATTAATAACACAGGGTCGGACTGCGACGTTTGAGCGCGGAAACGAATTGTTTAGTGACCAGACGTGGTCGCGAAACTAAACCCTAAAACGGCTTTTGCTGCCAACGGCGGCGCCGCGCCACGCCACGCGGGACACGGTACAAAAAAAGAAAAACGTGCAATAAAAGCCACCACCGCCGAATCGTTGAACTCGGGGTTAGGAAGGGATGGGGTTGTGTGCACGTAAAAGCGCGTGCGATAGAATCGATTATTCCCATTTCCCATGACCTTGTTTTTAAAAAACACGCGCCAGCGTGTCCTCACACATACGACATACATATATACATACATACATACATACATACGACATACGTACATATATACACGGTCACACTATGTATACGTGTCTTATATGCATTATACATCTGTCCGTAAGTATACGCGGCACTTTTTTGGATTCACACAGCAGTAGTGGAATTATAATAATATTTTATTATATAGTGCCTGCAGTATATCATGTTATCATGGAACGCAGAAAACATGATGGCTACTTACCTTTATTATAATATTGTACGTAAAATGTAAACTTATATATTATATTATTTAGGTATTGTACGGAATTTAATATGAGTACTTTGGTAATTATTCAATTAATAAAGGTGTAGAAATTACAACTGCAGCATAGATCTCGTCGTTTTCGCAATCATATATTATTTATTATAATATTATAGTTACTATTTTGGCATGTGAAATATAAAACTATAATAATAATTACATGGACACGATTCATATTCATATATACAATACTAACAATGTTGTTACATACTCCAATATATTATACGGTTTGCAATTTATTTGTTTGTTTCGAGATGAGGCAAGTCGGACTAGAAGGATATAATAAGTAGGTACAAAAAGATAATTATAAAACAATATTTGATGAAAAAAAACATCATTTATAAAAAATATAATTTTTAAACGCGGGAGACGAACAACCGTTGATGTCTGTTGTGCAGTTTCAGTGTAGGTACTACTGCGATTTAGAGTCTCCTAGGTCGATTTGGAGCCAGTCGCACACGATGCCAGCCATCTCGTCGGAATAACCGATCACGAACGCGTGTTGATAGCCTTTATCGCACAGTACAGCATCTGCTTCCGGCACGCACTTGCTGATGTCGTCGTAGAACGACGTCGGACACCAATCGTCGGTTCTACCGAAGTACATGTGCAATCTTTTCGCGTTGTCCTTTAACGGCTGCAAAGACATAAAATAGTATCAAGTAAATACTTCTTTGGACAATTTGAACTAATAAATGACAGGACAAAATAAAAACAAAATATTAATAAAATTATATCGTAATATTAAAATATTAAAAAATACTTGATAGGAAAACAATTATTGTCCAGAACACATTATGCATGTGATATAGTATGATGTATTTTCAGATGTTTGATAAAACGGCGGATGAATAATAATTTAATGGAAAATGCCGTTGCCAAATTTAAATTTATTTTGTTCAATACGGCCATTTATTGAAGACTAAATTGTACATAAGGTGTAAAGCTTATTATTTGGTTTTTGAAATGTATGGTTGCATCCCTACGTTATATAATGAAACACTAGGGTTTGAGATATAAAAAAAACTTGTTAGGCCTTATGACAAACATTTCAATGGCCATTGAATGTTCTAAGTTACTTGAGATGAATGTATATATTTTAAACAACTTTACTGATTTTACAGAAAAACTGGGAAATATTCCAGCATGTATTATGTTTAAGTATATCGAGGGTGAAAGTTTATAAGACGTGTTTTCTAACTTGAAAATAATACAAAGAATGTATATGCGTACTGCTTTAGCAAATTGTACTGGTGAACGTTCTTTTTCAGTATTAAAAAGGGTTAAGAACTTTATGAGATGTACAATGGAATAGGACCTAAATGGTTCATTTAAACTATGGTGATAATAATTTATAACAGTATCATTTAATATTAGAGTAGAACTTTTGGAATCATTCAATTTTGAGAACATTATAAATTATTTTGTTGTTCCTAATCCAAAATCTTGAAAATGAAAATATCTAAAGTTTTTTTTAGGCTATGTATTTTTAATATTATCTCATATTTCATGAATTATGTCAAATATATATGAGCGAAGGCGCAGGAGCGCCTTGGCAATCTCACCTAATGTCTAGAGTAATATTTTGTCTTAATCTGGGCCTGAGTATTAGGTACAACAAAACAGCAACAACAACATACTTTTAGAGCCCATTTTGAGATAACATCATTATACATTTTAATCATTGCTATTTATTATAAAATAACTAGTTAATACATACAATATTCAGATACACAAATTCACATTATAATAATTAAATTAAATATTTTAATTATGGAATTTTAAAAAACTTTTAGTGTAATATATCTCTATATATGTACCTATATATTATACCCCTTTATTATTATTATTTTTGAACCTCCGTGTGAGAGAAACGAATTTGCATTATATATGTGGCTGGTGCCGAATTGGTTCCCGTACGAAAAAGGTGTATTAATAAGGTAAGCCGAATTGGTTCCTATTTAATTACGCACATTTTCCTTCTCAATTTTACAAGCTTAAGAAGTTAGGACTGTTAACTTTAAAGAAGGATTGGTAAAAAATATGTGTTAAAAAAAATCCTTTAATCGGATACATCCGTCATCTATATTATAGTAGATTTAAAATAAAAATCGAGATAATTTATTTGTTGTAATATGTACAACATATGTACAAGTGCCATGCCTACTAGCACATTGCGTAACACGTACCTATCCAGTATCCAGTACATCAAATTTTAAAAATAAATGATTCAATTTATTTTATTTATGTAATATTATGTATATAATTTATCTTATGTTATTACATTTCTGACACAATTTAAATATTCCGCTAAATAAAATTATAAACATTGTCTATCTGTATTAGACATTAAGGTAATTTCCTAGACTCCTAGTCATAGTAGTAAATGCGTTAACAAAATATTTGATTTTTACAACATTATTTATGTTGTCAGTTAATGCGACATCTTCTGCTAATGTTAGGAATGTATGGTATTGGCTAGGCAATACACATATATAAACATGTCCCTAAGATTATAAAATATATTGCTTCGCCTATTTTATGGTAGGTTTTAATAAAGTATAGTCGGCAGTTTAGTTTCACTACTTTTAATTTATATAAATGATTTTGTTCAATCGTTAACTATAATAATCATTTCTTGTTTTTCTATTCATCATCAACTATCTATTGTAATGGTTCTTTTCAACACATAAAAAAACGAAGACGGTGGAGTACACAATCAAGATTCTTCTTAGAATTCTCTGAAATCCTATTAGGCACTTTTTATTGTCTACGTTTTTTTATCTCTATGTTAATAAAGCATTCAGTTTTTTTAAAGGTGATCAATTTTTGAATTATAATCGAATAATGAAGTATAAGCTTATTTATACCTATAAAATATTTAATATGCAAGTTTACAACATATTTTTATCTACACGAAAATCACATTTATAGAGTATAGACAATGTTGTTTAATTTTATATTTATTTGTTAATTTTTTGAAAATCTTGCTAAATTTGATCGAAAATTCAAAATTTGAAACCTAAGAAAATCTTTCCAGGTAAGTAAATAGGCAAATGTATTACAACAAACCTTGGAATCCAAATCGTATATTTTATCCATTTCGTCTACTGCCATGGAAAATACGTTGCGTAACACCATTGGATGAACCAAACGCACAGCTGATCTGATAACATGGTCATCGACACGTCCTCCTTCCATGATTATTAGGGTCATATTTACCAAAAATGTTTTGATAAAAGCCGGGAATAAAGTAAAAATCTAAACAAATAAGTATTTTTTAAAACTATTTTAAGCATCATATTATTGTAAATAACAATATTTTAAGTTTGTTTTCACGAAAAATTTAACATTGACAATTATATTAAGTTATTCGTGTCTTAAAAGTCAAATAAGACACTATTTTTTTACAAAAGGTACTATAATAAAAACTAATTGTTTCTTATAACTCTACTTTTAACCACATCATAAGATTAATTGTTGTGAGTGTAAATATAATTAACACCTACTCGTTTTAATAATATATTACTTGCCGATGTGGACTTTTCATTCTCATAGTCATTATCTACCTGTGTACGTAGTCTTACTGACCCAGTTAATAATTAATGTTGTTATTTTTATATTTAATACATATATGTAAAATTTAAAATCTATGTTTATATATAATACAATATAATAGGTAATCATAAAATAAATGTATACGCCAATTAATAATTATAAGAACAAATAGGTAAAGGCAAAGGCAACGCTTTAAATAAATAATAATAATATTACGAGTTTCAATAATGCAACGATTGCAACGATTGCAACGAGTATAATAAAACTACTGGATATGCATATAACCTAATAATGGACATTAATTTATATTTTATACTATAAAATCATGGTTTATCATAAAATATATTAATAAATATAAATTCAATTAGTGTCTATTATTATTTTATATTCTGTGATATTTATAAAATAATTAATTATGAGTACTTTTAATTAAATAAACAATTTTAAATATTTAGTAGAAAATTCATGTTAAATAAAATAAATATAACTATATTAAATAATATTCTAACTTATAAAATATAATTATATAATGGTGTATGGACATTTTTTTAAATTATCAGTTGTTAATGAACTATTAAATTGAATAATTATTATTTGTATTATAACTGTATTGTTTTTAACTTGTATTTTAAAAATGATAAACAAACATCTGAGATTTAATATAAACATTTTTTAAATTATTTATTAATGTATAGCATATTTTATTCAAAAATATTATATTGTCAATACAGTTATGAATCTTAAGAGTGGGTAGAACAATTTTGATTTTTGATGCCATGCATTTTTTAATTTTCTGGAATGGTATCGAAGAAGAAAAGTATTTGAAAAAAAGAAACCATATTTAAAATAATTTATTTTATATTATGTTCCAAATTTTAAACGCCGGATGTCATCTTATGAAAATCATATCTTTATATGACAATACGTAGTTCATAAGAAAGTGCCTGGATGGCACAAAGACTGATCGTTTCTTCTGACGAGGAATTTTTGAAAGCTAATCGAGGGGCTCAAAGTAATTTATGCGAAAATAGTATATTCTAGAATCCGTATTAGAAATCTAAAATCAGTATTGTTTTGGCCACGTGTTATGAGCCTTTGATTGTAATTTGTAAATCTACTCAAACATTGCAACATTTTAGAATATTTCAATGTGGATAATATGGTTGAATTTTAATAAACGTACTTACATATAGTATTTATATAGTAAGTACTTAATAGTTTATAATTTTTACAGCATATATTATTATTTTATGTTTAATTCAATTTTCTATCATGGTTATTAAAGTATGTTATGCTTATATGCACCTATGATCTAAATAATTATTATAGTCCCTAAATGTATATATTAACCCAGCCTAAATTAAAAAATGCAATATTAGTAAAATAATAAATTTAGTATATACATATTTATTATTCTTATGTTAGTATACATAATATTATAAACAAAATGTAAAACGTAAAAAACTATATGTTAAGTAAAGTAAAGTAAAATAAAATAATTGTTTTTATTCTATTTGTATTAGGTCTTACCCAAGATAAAAAAATTGTGACGGGTAGAAGATTGGATGCAGTAAATATAAGTTTACGTCCGTTAGGCGTCTCGCGCATTTTCTGTAGAGTGGGAAACAGAAACACTGAACGTTTAACAGACAATCTCTGGGCCATTGCACTATCCTTTAACAGTTCTGATATAATTTTTGACCCGACTGAATGACCCACAAAATATAGATCGCAATTATCTGGCACGTACTTCTCGATAAACCGCAATTTATGTTCTATTTGTCCCTTTACCGTGTAAAGATCGGGATACTTTTTAGGGTCAGGGATTGTAAGGCCCGAATTCGGCGGTGGAACTTCATGACCTAAAAAATAAGTATTTGCATTTAAAAACTCACTTAAATAAAAAAATCTTAATTATTAAAACTTTGTCATTATCCCAGGTCACCCTTAAGGCGTTAAAAATGCAATTGGTGCCGCGACTTATTAGAGTTAAAAAACATCTCACTGTCCGAAGTTCCATCAACGGATGGTTTTTTCATCAGATCACCAATCTTGCCTAATACCCATTTCCCCATGCCACTTCAATTACAATTAATGTACGGTAATACAGATTTTGTAATGTAATAATAAATGTTAAGAAAACAAATATTATTATTAAAATAAAATATAAAACCATATTATAGAAATTATTTAAGCAATATGTTTGAAACAATTACTTAAACATACTCGTGAATACAGGTTGTTGCGATCATACAGGAAAACGGGAACACATAACAGACTATCTTGGATTTTATAAACAATAATGCAACATAATAATTAACTCCGCGAGGTGTTTTTCCGAAGAATACAGAAACGAATAAATTATAATTATAACAACTATAAGACTACCAATTCTCTTAAGTATATGCAAATCGCGAACAAATAATTCATTTTAAGAAAACCCACTTTAATAGTTTAGTTAATAAATCAATGAATAGATTTATGTGAGTGTTTGGACAAATTATCACGTGATAACTTCATTATGGAACAGGTTTCACTGAGGAAAACAAAGTTTCTTGGTATTCATTTTATAACTGCAACATGCAGAACAGGAAATTAATGATAATTTGTTCACATTAAACATTGTACTTTGATGACTTTATTTTAAAATTTAATAAATAATAATATTTTTAATAGATATTTTTATAGTTTGTATGAAAATCACAAATTAAATAACATCATTATTTTAATAATAATTATAGTATGGGGATGAGGTGACCGAGTGGTCTGACGCGTCCGCTGCGACGCAGCCGGTCGCGGTTCGATCCTCGGCTACCGGGCGGCATTTTTCTCCGGACAAGTCGCGGTGACCGGAGAACAAGTGCTGCCATCCCCCACCCCCGGGGCATGGCAGAAACCTACGGGTGCCCCATTCGAAATTCTGCCAAAAACAAACACACACGTGTTCCCCCCTACCGTCCCAAAAAATATACAATACAAACCTACAATACAAATTCTACTACAGCTAATGGCCTTAGTTGCCGAAGCTTAAGATCAATAAAAAAAAAAAAAAAAATTATAGTATATTAAAAATTTAATAAAAATAGTCGCTATGTACCAAAAATACTTTTAAAAATACATTCAATGACAATATGGTAACAGATGTTATCTTTATACAACATTAATTATATTGTACATTTTAATAATAAAATATGTAGATTGTAGATATAAACTATAATTAAGAAACAATCCTTATCAAAGATTTAATAAAAAAACCTCCTTTATCAAGTCAATTTATTACACAATTTGAGTATTACTGCAGTACAAGTAAAAATAATAATTATAATTATAATTAGTAGTTACACATTATTAAGGTATTCTATTATTTAAGCTTTTGTTTAAAATTTAAGCTGAATACACAAACAAATGAAAATGTTGAAATATTTTTCCCTAAATTTTTGAAATTTAAATAATTTTTACTTGCAGTTTGATAGAAAGAAATCATTATTTAGTACTTCCAGTTTGAACATCGACATTCAACATTTTTCATGCTAAACATAATTTTCAAAGTTATATATCATTATGATAACCTGGGAAGGAGATATAATAATTAATGAACCTTTATAGCTTGATTGAATTCTACATTACCAGTTATGTAATCTTAACAATAATTAGTCTCTAGATTTTGTATCAATAACATAAGTTTTTAAATACATGGATGTATGGATTTTATTAAAGTAAATTATTTGCTGATCGTTGAATAATGTAACACAAGAGAAGAGAAAATTTTATTATTGTAGAAAATATGAGTAGTTACCTATATAAATATATTTACGTAATTTTGTACCTATGTAACTATATTTACAATATAGATATTAACTAAACATACAAGTGTTAAGTTGAAAACATACTTATTTATTTTAAAAGTCATGGCGCTATAAGGTCATATTAAATTAATTACACATCAACAAATAATTATTAGTTGCATTTATCGTATAAGTGTTGTTGTTAATTACAGTAAAGAAATTTATAAGTTATTCAAATAAGAATTTTGTAAATTCATTTTTTAGTGTTTTAGATAGTTAAAAAATACAAAATATAGTTAGGTACAGCAGTACAGATCAGTGCCAGTAGTTTAGAAATTACATATAGGGTATACACCACAAACATTTTATTTTCGTTTGTCTAGGTGTAAATTTTATCAAAACTAATGATTATTTTAGGGATTTTTGATGAAAATATCTCTTTGTCTTAAGGAATTATTGAGACCTACAAGTCTAATAAATAACTGTACATAATGATAACTCCAAAATGTTTTTTATTCATACATTCGAAAATCAAAACGATTCAAAAACATTCCCGTGGCATATTTGAGTAGTTGACTTCCACTTAAATTTGATAATAATAATGATAATAATTAATAACAAATACCTACCTAGCTTAAGATAGTAAAAATGTAAAATAATGATAGCATTTGTACCTGCATGTGATAACACCCAGACAGGAACTTTGAGGATTCGATAGACTTCCTGCAGAAATTTTTCATAGAACTCTGATACACCTGGGTTGCCGCAAATGCATAGCACTACTCTCTTTAATTCATGTTTATTGTGCTCGTCGATCGGCTTGCCCCAACAAAGCACTCGAGTGGCCACGCCGTTAACATCCACCCATAGGTCTCTCGCTTTCAAGCTGCAGCCGCTGTCATCATCCGCAGTTGTCGACTTCATCTTTGAAACTGTAGCTGCCGATGCCTCTGCATTCGCTGCAGTCATCTGTGATTTTTTACAATAGGTTAACACACTCACCCACCATCACACACACTACAGACAGGATGCATATTATGACGTATCCATAAATATATATAATAAATGAAGATGTAAAGAGTGATCCTTTTGTCACGAAACAATCATTTAAATTGGTAAAACTCGGTAAATATGTATGTAATTTTTTTTTTACCTTTATTGGAAGTTACCAAAACACAACATAAATTATAATATTTTAAATTCTGAGCAGATAACGATGGATGTATAGATTTTACATTGTGTCTGTGTTTTTTTCTGTCTGTCATACTATCACCTTTAAGGGTAGAGTAAAAATGCTTCAATTTTCTACTTCAGCAACATTTCTGGTATAAGAAAGTGAATCTAGACAATCTAATCGGTACTTTAGGGGATTAAAAGTAAACAATTCACAGAAATTTTAAAAAACATTGAGAAAAAACAAAAAATTAAGAAAAAACGGGAACTTTTAAGCAAAATCAGTTTTTGAAAAAATCTATTTTCTTTTTTGAAGTGAATCAAAAATGAATAACTGTAGATACTTTAATTTTTCTAAAAAGTAAAAATGTTTGCAAGCAATGGCCATGAACATTTTTCATACAAGATAAAATATTCTAAATATTTTGACTCTTGTAGAACTATTTACGAGTATCAAGAATAATTTAAAAATGTTATTAGCATCTAAAAGTAGAATTTTTGACAATTTTCGTCTAAATTAAAAAAACCATGAACATTTACAAATTATTTTGACTTAAAAATTCACATTTTTCCTCGCATTTTTCTTTATTTTATAGATTTAAAAATTGCATACAAGATTACTTATTAAATAACTCACAAGTATTTCAACATTTATCAAAAAAAAGTTAACCAGACATTTCCTCATACATTAACGATTTTTCATTGAACAATTTTCTTATTTTGTTAATTAAAAATCAAATAGCCGTAAATACTTGAAATATTTACAAAATGTTTATTCTATTATCGTACATGTATATATTATAACATTTTCAAGGTATGTTGATTTTTTTTAGATGTTTATACTTTATAGACATTTTTAGTTTTAAATTCTTTTTAGTTTTTTTCTATAAATATAGACAAAAAAATGTCACTGAGTCCTTAACTAAAACCTTAAAAAATACAAGGTTCATCATAAGTAGTTAATATTGTAATTAAAAAATCTAAAAAAATATATTAACACAGTTTTTTTTATGGACATGTGAAGTTAAATTTTTGACGAAATTATAGATGCATAACAAAGAATAACGATGTTAGTTATTTCGTTTTAATTCAAAAACCTGATTCGTAAGGATTTTCACGTATACTATACACTTAACTATACGCAATGATATTTTCAAAATATTGAGATTTATTTTAATAGCTTTTAACTATTCATATAAATAATAGCATAATGAACCTATCCACACTTTTAAACCGGTAAGTGGTATGTATTGACTCTAGAGTTAATAACAATAATATAATAGACAGTGATATATTATTCTAATAATTAAATATTAACTAATATATTATATATTGCAATGATTTAGGCAAAAACCTACCTTTATTGCTATTAATAGTAAAATAACTTATACTTTAATAGGAATATCAAAAAACATATCATGAAATACACTTGGTGTACACTGTACATATAGGCTGGTAAATCATCTTCGTTCAGAATCGTTTTTCGCATATAAAGATATTTTGAATTCAAATTTAACACATTAATTACATGTCACTCACTCAAGAGTCTACACAAACTGTACAGTAGAGCACTATACTTGCCGCACTACTTACCCATATTTTTTTTTTATAATTGTATAATTCTTAAGTTAATTATTTTTTTAAAGACTACTGCATCTTACATTTTTAATTCATAAGCAGTATATTTTTCTGAAGATTTAATGTATGATGTATCAATATTAATACAATTAGTAGATACCTATACCTACCTAGTAAACTTTAAGTGTTTAATGTTTCGATGAGCGGACTATAGAGGCATAAAGACAATATTTCCCAAGGTACGACCCCTGTAAATACCATTAAACTCCATTCATCTGTACTTAAAATTATATATGAAGAAATACACATACATTTACCGAGAAACTTACTGTTCTGTGATAAAAGAATCACCCCATATAGTACAAAGTCTCGTGCTTTTATATTATGCGAGAGTAAGGTTTTATTTTTACATTTTGTAGAGTTTCAACGAGAAAAAACACTTCTTATCCAAAAATATGGTTTAAAATCATGCGATTTCATGCAAAAAAACAAAATACTTTTAAAGGTGCCCTAGATATTATTCTTACATTTAAATAGTGCAGTATTTAGACTAATTCACTCTAATATTAAAAATAACAAAGTAAAACTGATCTTTCTGAACATTAAATTGCCCATGAGTTAGTAAGGCGGAGATAACACATGCGATTATATGGTCCTCTTAAACGACAAAATAACTATTTGAAAAAAGTAATTAGGTAATCACCTACAAAGAAATAATAATTGCGTATAAGTTAGCGTGAAGTGAGATATTTTCATGGATAAGATTTCAAAAACCTATCGCTGTGCTGATCACGATGTAAAATATAATATTATTAACGTTGTTCATGGGAAACCGGGTTAATGATGCTGATGCCAAATGTGATTAGTAAACATTATTAGATATAGGTACCTACGCTAAAATAACTAAAATCTGTAAGTTAACTTGAACACAACCGATAAATTACTACAGCATATCAATTCAGCCATATTATATGTACCTAAATAATATATGTTATATCATATTATACAGACAAAAGGTTTTCAAAAAATGCAAACGCCTCGCAACTTGTCTGAGAAAAAATTGCACAAGCGATGTGTTATAACTTTATAAGCTATAACATATAATTTAATAGTACCATCTAGAAATATATTAGAATAAAAAAGAGAAATATAAAATACAAAGAATATAGGTATTTTTAAAGTAGGTTCTATTATGATATATAACTTCTAAAAGCGGCAGAGCTGTGTCATACAGCAGAGACGCTACAGCACACAGCATATCAGCTACCCACCATCAGCTGTTCAACCGGGAATGCGGTCCTCGCCACGTCCTCTCATATGCCACCTCTGCGGCGCTGTTATCTCTTATCATACAAAACGAGAACCTACGCTTATCACTTTAATTCAGTGATATCACACCCGACAACCGGTGTGCACCGTTACTACAACTTACTGTCCCGGGCCGACACGTCGACGTAAAAACTAGGACGTCTCGTTTGCTATATTTAATTATTTCGTCATTATTATTGTCGATTTCCCATTACATTGGTTTTAATTGGTACTCACGTCTTTGTGATAGTAGCAGCGGTCCGTTCCGAGTCCGACGTGTAATCGCGGTGGTCGGCCGACGAAAACGGCGGTCGCGCGACGGTACCGACTAACAACGGCAAGTCGTGGATAGAGCGAGGTGGCGGCGACACTATACGATACTGCCATTCGGTCGTGGTCGTCGACGGCCGGCGATGTCGTTTTCGCGCTCGCCGTGAACTCGTCGTCGGGCGAGCCGCGGCGAAGTGTTTACCTTTCACCACGAGCGCAACGCAACGCGTCGTCTCAGTGCGACCTCGGCACCCGTGCTAAACTATTGCGTCGTCCCGAGGTATTGTTATTACTTTATTAGTTATTACGATTATATTACTATTTACGTGACAACGCAAATTCGCCTTTAGTCTATACCTACCTACCTACTTTCACGGCTAGTACCTAATAACCGGACGACTGTTATTATTTTTCATTACGCAATGGTAATAGGCATGGTTATTACATTGGTATAAGTTGTAACGTGTTTGCTATGTTTCGTAGTATACTAATATAGTAATATGTATAATGAACGAATATGCGTTGCTAGTGCATTACATTGAATTGATGTATAGTGTGGCCTATCTGTCTTTATGCAGAATTTTTATGAAATTTGAATTATCGTCATTGCAGTGTGGTACAGATTTACGAAATTCGCGCATTAAGACAAAAGCCTGGGAGTGACCGTGTGATAATTATTGTGATGATTACTCATCAGTCATCACTAATCAGTGATTACGTTAAACATTATAATATTATTTATTACCATAATATATTAATATATTGTATATATGTGTATTTACATTGTACGTATATATAAATAGGTAAACGACATATTAAATACCAACATGTAATTGACTATTACTCATGCTACTACTATTTAATGAATTTGAAATAAATAACAATTGTTAGTGTACCTACCTAACACAAACTTATATTCGATATCAAGTATCAACTGTTATATAGACACTATATTGTGGGTATATGGCATGTTTTTAAAAACTATAATATTGACTAAACGTCGAATACCTACTCTAATGTTTTGGTAATAATTTAATATTATCAGACTTGAAGCATAAGTACCTAATGGCTAATGCTATAATAATACATGAATGAATTACTCAAATTGTATGCTATAATAATACATGAATGAATTACTCAAATTGTATAATTTAATAAAACGTCGTAAAACTGTATGATAGGGGTAATAAAAAATGTTGAATTACAATAAACTTTCTTAATGGTTGATAAATTGATATTGTTATACTATTCCAATTCATATTTAAATTAACTAAATAAAGTAAATAGGTACTTACGCTAAGACTATCTAAAACATTTGTATTTCAAAACTAAAATATACCAATATTACCCGTATACCTATATGGACATAATATGGTATCTGTTTTTTTAAATAAATGTTACCTATGAATTTTGATAAACATAAACACTGTACCAGATACTAAATAATCCAGTACTTTGGTGTCTTAGGCACTTGTTTAATATTTGGTTATTACAATTAGTTCTAACTAACTTATATAATCTTATTTTTATCAAAAAATTGCATATGCTCAATAATTTTGTGATACTAAAATTAATGATATTTATTTTAATTGGAATTCAAAACATGATAGTATTTTTTAAGGTTTATACTCACTTAAGCTACCTTCATAGAAACTTTAGTAACTAGAAGTGGTAAGTAGAAGTGTAGGTAGTACCTACTACTTAGTTATATTAATTTTATAGCAACTTTATACAATTGCATTATTAAAATAATAATTACTCCATATTGCACATTGAATCATTTTAAAATATGCTAATAAAATCCTACCACTAAAATTCTTATTTATTCTGCAAGTTGCTTTACCTCTCTCACAGGTGCTTCATTGAATTGTATGATGAGCTACCAGATACAAATAAATTATTATCTAATTTTATAGTTGAAATAAAATCATATTATTATCATAATGATTATATTCAGCTTATTTTAATGTGTATGGCTGACTGTTAATTATTATCTATAATATATTCATTGATGGAAAATCCAAACTATAAAATTATTTAATATAACTAAATTTATTTCTATGTGAACTGCATATTATAATAATATGTAGATTGTAGGTACCTTGCGATATCCACGTCCGAATTGCATTAAGATGCCAGCGCTGACCGACCATATAGAGTATAGATATTTGTTTTCTCTCTGCCTCAGCGCAACATAACAAATTTGCGTTCAGTAGAACCATATTTGTGTTGTTGTAGTTTTTTATAATTGGTAGAGTAAACATTTAAGAAAAAAAATCAGATTTATGTAAACTAATTTAACAATATATTTCAGATAAAAATTTGTAAAAAAAATATAAATACACTTCACACTAATAACCTTTGTTGTCGAAGTAAATTGATCAATAAAAAATATAAAAATATATGATTATAATCGTATAATAGAATACATTGACCAATTCTAAAAAACTTAATAATAAAGTTTTCTAGTGTACTTCATAACCTTTTATTATTATTTGAATTTTAAAGCAAATTAATTATAATTTTAAAATTGTAATAATGGTGATGCATAAACTCTATACAGTGAGAAAGCACTCTGCGGTATGTTGAAAATAAGTTGTTCTATGAATCCTATGCGACACTCGGGTGTAGTGGAACTTGTCTCGATGGCGGGGTGTCACGTGATAAAGCGCTGAATCGGCATTATGTCTCTCTCACTGGACGATAAAGTACGAGTATATAATTATAAACCTATAAACTCACTTTAAAATTAAAATATCAATAAAAGTAAATAGTAGGTGCTAAATTATAGATAATATTTTTACCTTCTAACTCAAATTTTCAATGTTGCGCTGGGTCAAAGTAAAAAAAAATAATATAGTGCCGCTGACGCCTGACTTCCTCCTAAATTCATATTAAATTATAATAGTATACGTACCTTATATAGTAAATAATTAATGAATAATAAAAAAGAAGTCGATTGATTATATACCTATAGGTACGTATATATTTATTATAAGGGATGCATATTGAACCTAAGTCATGGAGTACCTTCATTAGAAAAATATATATTCGCTATTCAGTTAAATAATGTACAACAAATAATATAATTGATTTTAGTCTTTTTGTACATTGATTATTATTTATTTGTACTTATGGTTTATTTACATCGCATGAAATAATGTAAAATTACTACTCTATACGGATTAAGAATATACTATTTAATGCCAATATATATCCAATTTGGCTCTTTAATTATAAATTATCAGATGTGGGCAGTTTGCGAAAATGATTAACTAGAGTTACAACAACTTTAAGAATGTTAAATTATAATAGATAACAGTTAACTAATTATATATTATATTTAACCCTAAAAGTTAATGATTTCAACATGTAGAAAAATATGAACTTCAGTTGAAAAGTTGAAAACTTTTAACTACCAGTCGGCTCCCAAATAATTATTGTGTAACTTTTAAATAATTAAAATAGTAACCAAACATTTTGTTAAAAATGCATCTTGTTATAGAATATAAATATTATATATTCCTTCTTACCTATTTCATATTAGCTATCTTTAGTATAAGTAGTAAAGAAAATTATACATACTTATAAGTTATAACAATATATAGTTGGTACCGTTGGTGGAGACTCGTTTGCGCACATATTAATAAAATTCTTTTACAATAATTCTTATGCTCAAAAAATTGTAGACAATAAATACCAAATTTTTGGTACATTTTAGGTCTACGTTGTGTACAATGTTGAATTTACTGATAAGATATTTTCAATAGAAAGTCATATCAATAATAATAGTCATAGAGAAAATGTATTTGTTTATTTTTATTTAGTACACAAAAACAAATGAATTAAATCAGTTATAAATACAGTTAAACCTTGACAATATGTATTTTGACGTATCAATAAAAATAATTATAATCGTTATTGTATTTTCAAATATATCCCGGAAAGTTAAGTTATGACGACAAATACTTTAACTAGCTTAACTAATTAAGAGGATGCAACCTATGCGTTTTTTGTCTTATTCGTTCTATAAACGTACGACAAAGCAAATTATTGTTCACTTTTTTCAATAGTGTGCTGTTATTGTTGATATTATAGTAGCTTGACCTATTATACAACTTTTAGGTAAGAGCTTTATCTTAAGCTTTGATGATTTTTTCGACATTTTAATTTTCGAGCAAGATGTGGGCACGTGAAACATCACAAATTAAAAATGCTCATTTCTCGCTTGAAAAATAAATTTCGAATAAAAGCCGACGCACTTATTATAATCTTCTTACTTAAAAGTTTGATAATGGGTCAATTAATTCTGATATCAACACTAACAGCACACTATTGAAACTAGTGAACGTAAATTGTCCATGTCGTACAATCGTAAATGTGTAAGACGGAGACAACAAAGGCATGAGCATAGCGTGGTCCTCTTAAGTTATTGAATTAAAAAAATTGACCAATTATTATGGTTAAAAATTAAAAAAAAATTTTTTTAACTATGCTTAAAACTTTGTAACTAATTTAAATGCTCACCTATTAAAATTACAATGCAGTACACATGGTTTAAATCATAAAAAATATTCTCAAATAAATAGAAAGCCTACTACCTAGTACCTATACTATAATTTATAATGGCATCTATTGTAGTAATTTTTTTACTCTATTAGTTATAATAATTTAAAGCATGTATAATGTGTACATATCCTGGTGGGTGCTGACCACGGAAATGGCCAACTTAAAGAGGGTTGTTGTGTAAATATCAACTAATTTATAGATTTATAATTTGAAGTGGATTAAAATGTTTGATAAAACGCTTGTTTGAAATTAATTAAGCATTTAAGCCCCGGACAAGTACAACTAAATGAACGCTCCCTCATTTCCAAAATAGGGTAATAAACTAGTATATATATTATGATCATCGCTCATTATATATATTATATGTATAGATAATACATGTGTAATAGTCAATAGATTTAGTTGTAGTATTATTGTACATTTGTAAACATGCGTTTAATAAAATCAATATAAATGATGATTTGCCAAGTATATAGGTAGGTATATCATTTATTTACTATTGTGACAATTAAATAATAGGTACGAATGTAATAATATGTTACTTTAGCATAAAAATATGTATTTTTTTTTCAATTTAACAATAAAAATGTATTGTGATGTTTCTAAGTATCGTGCGTTTTGTACGTTA